AAGAAACGGCCAAAAACAAACTTTTTCACAGATATAAATGTCGGTTCATGATTTTTCCCGCAAACAACTTTCAAAGCATTTCATTTACAATTAGCCCATGTAAATTTTGCTGCTAAAACGGGAGTTAACGTTGATTGAAGTTTGAAATCATAAAAGTGCCGATTTCTCGGTGTTCGGTTTTTGGCAATTACCGTTGACCTAATTTTAAATGGCGTTTCAGTGAATAGCGCTACGATATCGCCGTTTAACTTTTCTTACTCTTGGATATGTTGGCTTCATATCCGTATTTACATATTTGCAAAATTCTATTGCATTTTTTCACAAACCTTGCGCAAACCACCGGTATACTTTTACTTTAACACCAAAAAACGTGCTTGAAATTTGTGATTTTCGGAAAGAAAAAAAAAACTTAATGCAAAAAATAGAAATACGGATTTAATCTTCATGACCTTTGCTTCAAAACAGTGTAAAGTTTTTGATCGCATGATTGACTGTAGAGATGACAATTAAAATTTTATTCACGTTAGTTAAATTATCAGCCCCGCTGATTTTCAGAATCACGTGACGCTAAAACAAACACAATGTTCACAAAATATTAATAGTAGGAAAACACAAATCAAGAGCTTTCTAAACATATATAGATTGTATGGTTTCTTGTAAAATTTATTCCGATTATAGGTGTTTACATTTTTCATGCAAAAAAACTATCCTGCTACCTTAATAACTTTGACATAATATACAGATAAAAAAACAAAAGTTAATTCTCACCTAGAACAGTTACTCCAAGCACATATGCATATATTATTAGGTTTTTGGAGTCCGGGAGGTGGTGGTGGTGGTGGTGTTGATACTTTAACTGGTGTTGACAAACTTGTGTTAACTGACGACACATCATTATCAGGTGTCGGCAAACTCTTACTCACTGATGAAACAACTTCATCAGGTGTCGGTAAACTCGTACTGACTGATGACACATCTCCATCTTTATTATAATGTTCTTGCTTTACATCAGGAAGCTGTTCAACTGCACTTATTTTATTAGGGATATTTGAATCAATAGGATCCTCATTTGATCTCTTGATAGGTTTATTGTCTGCTGCTGGTATATTTGTATTCTGCAATATTGGTCCTTGGCCAAGTGTTGCTGCTACACTGGCATGTTCCTCATTGCCACATAGTTCAAGATTATCAACTTTGTTTGCAGCAGAATTGTCATTATTAGGTTGCTTTGTGCTAATTCCCTGAGCTAAAACATCCCCATTTTCAGACACCATATCCAGAGTGTCTCCCACCACAGAGTTTTGATTGCTTTCACTAATTTGATTGGAGCATAACACTGGCACCTGACTGGTTGTTACATCATTATTTTTAAAGGAGCCCACCTGAGTGGCTGAAGGCAAAGTCCCAGGTGGCAGATGCTCACGTATGTCTCTATAAAACGAATTCTGATTGACTACTTTACACTTACTGGATGGAATGCTGTTTTTATTACTTGGTCCATTTTCAATAATATGTCCATTTTTCTTGGTGTTGTTAGTTTCCGGCGAGTCCCCCTGCCCTTTTTGTTTAAGGTCATGCTCTACTCTGTTTACAATAACGTCTTTATCTTCTGCACTTATTTTCAGATTATCCCCGTCACAATACCCGTTAATTATATTATCATGTGAAAGACTTTTATTAAACACATCTTTCACAAGGTCTTTTGACATTCCACTAAGTTTCTCATTAATTTCTTTGACATTATCAAACTCTTTGCTCGGCACACTTGGACCATTTACTATAACCACATTGACCACAGTTTTGTTTGATATTGCATTTTCTTTTACATCAACAATGGTCTTAATGTTCTCCATTTCCATGGGTTCCTCTTTCCTATCATCACGATCAACTTCCATATTATTTTCTGCTGATTTTTTTGCTGCAATCTCAATCTGTAACAGTTGTATTGCATGTTCTTTGTCTTCTGCACAAAGAGGCAAGTCCTTTCCAAGTTTATCTCGCTGACCCGAAGGTGCGTCAACTGCACTTACTTTAATACGATTCTCAAGTGCATTTTGACTGTTATTCACCATGTCAGCATTTTCCTTTTCTTCGATAACAGCTGTGTTTTCCACTAATTCAATAATTTGTTCTTTATCTTCTAGGTGTAACTCTGATCCTATCACATCTCTGGCTTGTTCCTCCTTACCACATATCATAGTGGTACTATCAACAGAGCGGGGTGATAAACTCCTGGGTGACAAACTCCTACTTCTTGGCGACATATTCTTCTGCGGTGTACGTCTACCTGTACTCAGTGATCTTTTCGGTGACCGAGCAGCTTTGTATGGGGGTGGTGGGGGTCTAGGACCCAGCGGACTTTGAGGTGTTGGTGGCCTGTGAGGACTGGATTGCCATGATGGGTTGTTCCACTGATTTATTGAGTTGACTTGACCTGTCGCTGATTGTTGCTGCTGAGACTGGTTCTGGTTCTGGTTTTGGTTCTGCCAGTTCTGTGCTGGTACACTCTGATTCTGGGTTGTCTGACCTTGATATGCAATAGAAAGTTGATTTCGATACACCATATTTTGAGGTTGTCTGTTCTGGTTAGGCTGCTGGTATCCTGGAGAATGATTCTGCCAGTTTTGTCGTTGTGTGTTCCACTGATGTTGCTGCTGATACTGTTCTTGTGTACAGTTTTGGGTCCAATCTGATTGTTGTTGCTGCATCACTTGTGGCTGTGAACATTGTTGTTGTTGTTGAGTCATACTTTGCGGGACTTGCACTAAACCTGGTAGAACAATCTGAGAATGTTGTTGCATTGTATTCTGCTGTTGCTGAGCTGGGTTATTTTGAGACAATGACTGCTGAGCAGGATTTTGTTGCGCTAAATGTTGTTGTTGCAACATTTGCTGTGGCCCAACATTCCCCTGAGAATTCTGCTGCTGCATTATATTTGGTTGCAGAGACATTTGTTGCTGTTGCATAACATTGTGTTGGGCAACCTGTTGCTGCATTACATTTGGCTGTATAACCTGTTGATGTTGCTGTACCACTTGCTGTTGTGGATACGTTGTTGCATGCAATTCTGTTGCTGTACCACTTGCTGTTGTGGATACTGTTGTTGCAAAACATTCTGTTGAGGCAATTGTTGTAAGTTTTGCTGATGTTGTTGCTGTTGAGGATAAGGCGGGGGAGGTATCATACCATGTTCCCCTGAACGCAAAGGTTGCTGCATTTTCTGCTGCAGTAATTGTTTAATCAGAGGAGAATCAGTATTTTGCTGAAGATTAGTCCTTTGTGGAGTATTTGGTCCAAATCCAGGGTTCACATTTCCCTGTGTGTTACTACTTGAAACTGGCACAGTGCCAGAACTTGGCAGTGATAGTGATGGTGATGATGGAGGTATATTTGACAATAATGCTTCCTGGATAGATGATGGGAACCTTTCCCCAGGTGCATGATTTGGCAGTGGCCGAGTTGAAGTCTGTCCAGTGTTCTGGTCAGCAATTCCACTTGTCTTTTGCAGTTGCATGTTTGAATTCTCTAAATTTGGCAGTGGTGGTGGCGTTGTGGCTGTTGGTGACACACCTGGTGAAAGATGAGGAGAGGGAGCCTGACCTGATAATGAGCTTGGTGACGGACTCCTCTCCTGTGGGTAAGGCACGACTCCTGATCGTTGTATCAGAATTTGTTGAGCCGGGGTTTGAGAAGTTTGAGGTTGCCTTGTATTTTCAGGTAGACTGTTTGGCCTGGATGGTGGTTGTTGTGGTTGCTGTTGCTGCTGCTGCTGCTGTGGCATTCGTTGAGGTTGTATTTGCATTTGTTGTTGTCTCATTCTTTGCAGATGCTCTTGTTGTTGCTGCTGTTGTTGTTGTGACATTGGCATCTGTTGTCCTTGCATTTGTGGTTGTGACTGCATCTGCATTTGCTGCTGCTGTTGCTGAGACTGCATTTGTTGCTGTTGACGTAACATTTGCTGTTGGTGCATCTGAGGTGACATCATCTGATTAGATTGCATTGACATTCCTCTCTGCTGACCAATGTATTTGGGAGTTTGCTGCAGCTGCTGCAACAAATGCTGTGATTGAGGGCGGTGCATCAAGAGATGACGTGATGGTGGAGGACTTGGTGTCACAGGAGGAGAAGGGAGGTTAGAATTTGGAATTCTGTTCATATGTGAGCCAGGTGGTGCCCTTGGTGGTGTTGCAGTACGACCTGGATACTGGGGAGTCTGTTGTATATGTGTCTGTACTGGTAACAGAATAGTTCTCCTCTGAATACCAGCTATATGATGTTGACCACTGTCCATTCTTTTACTTCCTGCATGTGGAAACACCATCCTGTTAAGAAAACAAACTTGATTACTTGGATCAATACAAGTCACAGTTCAGTTCCTGTATGCAAACTATAGAACATACTAGGACACGCACACACAAATAACGATCCAGCTAGAAATTCATACATGAAATAAATACGATATCAAAATTTATGATGAAACTTGTGTCTTTGGGAAATGAAAATTACTACACTCCTTTAATAAATATTATACTACATGGTTATTCATTAGATATTTTTACAATGTATCTTCTGCAATAGTGTAGAAAAGTAATGTCAGGTGAAAAAACAATACATGAGTATATACAATAGTCAATTATTGTCAGAAATTACACAAGCACTTAAAGATTCAGTCATAATGTTTAGTTCTAAGTTTAAATGTTGCACCTTGTTTAATATTGGTTTTGTATGCCATATTGTACACTGCTTCAAATTTGTAAGAGACACATTTTTGCAAATTTTGGAGTCTGTGAAAATAGCACAATTTAGTAGCAGCAAAAATGTCTTCAATGACAATGAGAAAATTTGCCTTCCAAAATGCCATGAATTCATCAAAATGAAACAATTTCTAGAAGCGGGAAGTAAGAAGTTTACAGAACACAACTCATGTTTACACAAAGCTCTAGACAGGTAATAGAAGGCACTAACTTGACGCATTTCCCGAAGTTGGTGGATGTGAGAATTCCAGACCTGGCCAGTTTGCTGCACGAGGCCAAATAATCCGCATAGAGATCTATTCTGCCTACTGTACCATTAACATCACACTCATAATAAGCATTCAACCTGAAACAATTAAACATTCATTATCAACAGGTTAGTGTAATCAAATGATTAAGGTAGCAAATGGGAAAAAACAATAATTGTCTATGTTTGTCTACAGGATTACTCAACATACAATTTTGATTTTGTGTTTTATTCAACTATCTATTGAAAACACCCATTTTTTAAATACTTTCAGCCTCACAAATTACAGGTAAAAATGACTGCAAACTTACCACTGACAAGTAAATGATTCAGGATCTATTTCTCTAGCTCCTTGTTGGTTGGCAGACGCTACAAGATTAGGCACTGTGTTTTGTCCTGAAAATACAACAGAGTGGCTAAGTAAAGCCCTCACCAAACAATTGCCCAGATGGCTCACTTACATATGAGAAATAGATAATTTTCAAAATATAATAGCAAATATCAAGAAACTGGTGAATAGGTCTATGTACAATAATATCAGCTATTGACATATTTGTAAATTAATCAATCCATGCATGGCACAGTTCCTGTTAGTTATCAAATCTTATCAAATCAAGTTATATAGTTTTGTTTATAGTAATATAGTACAAGTACTTTGAGAGATATTGCTCTGGTCACAAATTGGTCACTAGTCGACCATTTTTAATGGGATTGTCAAACTAATACATATGTATATCTATGACATGATGTATAATGAATATATATAATTTGAACACAATCAGTAAAAGCATGACAGAGATATAGCACTAGAACCACATTCATTAAAACAAAATGTCCACCAGTTGGCCATTTTGAATCTTATCTAAAAAAAAAATGAAGTGCATCAAGGTCATATAATGACCAATTTATGTACCAAGTTCGAACAAAATCCATCTGTAAACAGTCAAGAAATGCTTGATTTTGCCGATTTTTCAGTACAAAAATGGCTGCCATTTGGCCATCTTGAATCAGATTGATGTGCATATGTATAATATTATGTATGATGTATGTGTGAAGATTGAATGTAATTGATCCACAGAGGTCAATCCACAAGTCCTCGTTTTTGGACTGATAATGAGGACAGAATCCCATTTTGTTATGGAAAAGGAAACCAGAAATGGAATGAATATGAACATATACATTGTCAAGGATTATTGATTTGAATACTCAGCTTTCTATATTTGCCATTGTCAATTCCACTATTCGAAAGGGTTGATTTTATTCTTAACTGTTCAGAGCTGTCATGAGCATATTGAAACTAAAGGTGTCACAAATTATGTTGTCCTAATTCATCCATGAATTGATGAATTTAAACAAAAATGTTTCTCATACACAAATATTTTGTAAATTGGAACGCAACCGAGATGACAAAAGTAAACCTGAAATACAGCCTATCAAAACATGTTTATTGTTGATCCTTGTACTTACGAGAAATTTGAGGTAGTTGAGGAGGTGGTGTTACTTGTGGCTGTGGTCTTGGTACAACCATTGAAGAAGATTCCATTGGTGCATGCTCCACCACTTTGACACCGACAAAGGCATCAGGACCAAGAGAGTTGGCATCCAAAGTAACAAGGCACACCAAAATATCTGAAATAATATGTGATGTACCATAAGTACAGAGGTCTGATACTCTCGACCACTTACCAATACCAACAGCACTCTTAACCACTTACCAATATCACCAGCACTCTCAACCACTTACCAATACAACCCACATTCTCAACCACTTACCAATACCACCAGCACTCTCAGCCACTTACCAATACAAACCCTACTTTCAACCACTTACCAATAAATACCAGCAGCACTCTCAGCCACTTACCAACACAAACCCCACTCTCAACCACTTACCAACACAACTCCCACTCACAAACACAAACCCCACTCTCAACCACTTACCAATACAACCCCCACTCTCAACCACTTAGCAACACAATCCACACTCACAATCACTTACCAATACAACCCACACTCACAATCACTTACCAATACAACCCCAACCACTTACCAACACAACCAACACTCACAACCACTTACCAATATAACCCCCACTCTCAACCACTTAGCAACACAGTCCACACTCACAATCACTTACCAATACAACCCACACTCACAATCACTTACCAATACACTCACAACCACTTACCAACACAACCAACACTCACAACCACTTACCAATACATTTATGAACCCGGGCAATACAGTCGCATGTATCTTCACCTAAATCAGAGAGCCTATAAAGAACTTCCAAAGCACCAAGTAATAACTGTAAATAAAGATTATTTGTTGAATAGTTGTAGTGACCACTATTGTATAATGGTCAGTTGCTATTTACATAAAGATGACAAATTTGAGTGTATATCTTGATGTATTTAATGTAGTTGGCTATCATTTAAACTTATTGCCGGATTTCCAATCAGGTGTTATTCGTTAATAACCTACCAGCACCAGTGTTGTTTCAAGAGTAAATAAACTTTTAATGTGATGTGAGAAAAAACCTACCTGAATATCTTGTAAAGTTAACACTGCCATAATATCTTCATAAATATACGGATCTAAATGTGAACAAATGATACCAACATTCTCTTCCATTTGACAAATATTACTAAGAATTTCCATACCTAGATAGAACATAGATCAGGATATGCTATTAATACTATGTAGTTATGAGAATACAGCAAAGCATTCATAAAGACAATCCTGTGATTGTATTGTATGACAAGTGGCAGGAAGGTCGGTCTTTATGGTGTCATACTACCAGAGTACATACTTTGTGGAATTTTCATGACAATTATGACTGATTATCACAAGATCTTTTTTCCTGATCAAATAATAATTTGATATGAGAAATGATAGACCAAACTGCCCAAAAAAGAAGCCTGTCAAGAAGACCTTCTTGTAGTGTGCAAACCACCGTTATTGTAAGATGCTCCCAGATTGGTTAACAAAGACCATCAGAAGAGAGCTCCCTGAATGTGATTTACATCATTGGAAGTAAACAATGTAGTATGTAATTGTTATTTTAAGTAACTATTCAAGAAAGCTAGATGATTTAGGTAATGACCATTTTCTTTGATAGCATGTAAAAATGTTTCAGCAGAAAATGCATAACTACAAATATATTTGGTTCCAAGAAAGATGTTTTTGAAAATTAATAAATTCAGTTGAATTACCAAAAATGTTGTTTATCACATTTCTTGTTATAAATGTGGGCAACTCCGCATTGGTCATACAGTGTGTTGACCAGGAAATCATTTTGCTGAACATCAATGTCACACAAGACATTTGTATTCAGTTTCACTTCATAATAAATTTTAGGAGGCATAACATGATGAATATGTCCATTTCTGGTGTATGTGTAGTCAATTGCCAATGGGAATCAACTCAGGTAATCAAGAAAATGCTCTATTCATTCTCTATGCTTGTCACCATATTGTGGTTGGTTATGCATGCAGATTGAATATTCGTAATGACTAAAAGATTGACAAATTCTCTTTTGCAATTATTAGTGAGATGACTAACCTCTTATGACTGCAAACTTGTCAGAATCTCTGAGACACTTGCATATTGTATGGAACATAAGTTGTGTATTATGGAAGTCAATAGGATCTAAATACATCTGAGAAGCATGTATAAAAGAACTGATTAGTAACAGCAACATGTATTTTGTATACATAACAAGCAGCCTCTCGGCTGAGATAGCTCCACTGTTAGCAATGAACATTTCAAATAAAGAACTGAAGATATCATTAGAAAATGAACAAATTTGAGAGCGGTCCACCAGAAGTATCTATATGTACAATATCAAAGCAATCGGACTTACAGTTTTTAACAAAAAGTCGAAAATATCACTTTTTACCAAAACTGACAAAAATATTCATCAAAATTAATGAATTGAACATATCACGAAATGAACAAATCTAAAAGAGGTCTGTCCAAGGTACATATACACCAAGTATCAAAGCAATATGGCTTGTAGTTTTCAAAGAAGAAGTCGAAAACATAAATTATTGATTCGAATAATGGACAATCACTCATATGATATGATATGCTCTACTTGACAAAGTTGACGGCGGAGCTAATAAATTTGAATAAGTTTTATAATGTAAAATAAGAGGTAAAATAATTGTTGGTCTTAAATATTTGATAAAAACGTACCTGTGTTGAAATATTGCCGAGAGTATCTAGTCCTAATTGTTTTAATGACGAACATTTATTATGAGCACAAAGAAGTAGAAAACACAATAAATTATAACTTGTAGACATGACTGGAATGTTGTGTTTCTCAAATGATAAATTACGTAGAATTATAGCAATCTGAAAGAAAACAAAGAAAACGTAAGTCAACATGGAGTTGGGCATAACACTGCACGCTTTTTTTTTCTTTCATTCAAAAATAAATTATGTGTAATAAACCATGTGATATATAAGGTAATAATTTAGGGAACTGATCATTACCACCAAGCCGGTTTCCTGTGAGTCTCCTGCGGCATGCGTTGCTTTACCGTACCGGTCGTTGCTTTACCGTACCGGCCGCTGCTTTACCGTACCGGCCGTTGCTTTACCGTACCGGCCGCTGCTTTACCGTACCCGAAGGTCATTAGCCGTACCGGCAAGGCCGTTACCGTACTGGCAGGAGGCAATTCACACTTCTGACAAGTTAATTTATGCATTGATTTTCCGGTTTACAGGTAAAATGCCGACCTGTTTAAATTTCA